TTGAGTTTTGGGGGGAATGTGTCAAAACGGCAGTATATTTGATTAATCGTACTCCTACTAAACTTCTTGGAGGTAAATCCCCGTTGGAAATTTTATCTTCAAAGCCTCAAGATTTAAGTCACCTCCGCGTCTTTGGTTGTTTATGTTTTGTTCGTCTCAATCCTAAACCCACAAATAAATTCTCTCCTCGTAGTGTCAAATGTATGTTTGTTGGGTATCCTTTCGGTACAAAAGGGTGGCGGGTTTATAATCTTGACACTCATAGTTTTTTTCACACCCGGGATGTCATCTTCGATGAAACTCAATTCCCGTTCGCTGTCCCGGCCTCTTTTCCTTCTCCTTCGCCTGTTCTTAATCCGTCCGCGGAGGACTTTCTTGTCCCTCCGTCACAGTCCCTCAACCCGACTGCCGAGCAGCCCAGTCACATTACTCCCGCCGAGCAGTCCACTCCAGTCACTGCTGTCATACCCGACAGCCCGCCACCGTCTCCCACTCCTTCTCCGTCGCCGACCAGCAACGTTCCGTCCGTCAGTCCGTTAGTCCATCATCTACCTCGGGGGAGACCACTTCTCCCTCCGATTCTCCAGTCCCCTTACCCCCACGTACCCGTCGTCTACCTTCTCATCTGAGTGATTATGTCCTTAATTCCGCAACAGTTGATACTCTGCTCTCTTCTTCATCTGGTTCGATCTCGTCAGGTACTCGGTTCCCCATTACTAACTATGTTCATTATGATAAGTTGCATGACAGGTACAGAGGTTTTCTTGGTGCAATTGATGCTTCCCCGGTTCCTAAAAATTTTAAGGAAGCTGTGCAGTATGCCTCTTGGAGAGAGGCTATGGCACAGGAGTTTAATGCTTTGGTCCGGAACCATACTTGGGACATCACTACACTACCACCGCATCGCAGGGCCCTTGGGTGTCAATGGGTGTTCCGTACTAAATATAAATCTGATGGCACGAAGGAACGGGACAAAGCTCGTCTGGTAGTACTCGGGAATCACCAAGAATTGGGCATTGACTTCACTGACACCTTCACCCCCGTAGCTAAGTTAGCTATTGTTCGTGTTTTATTATCTGTTGCCGTTGCACGGGGTTGGCAGGTTGATCAGCTGGATGTGAATAATGCCTTCCTGCATGGGGACCTTAGTGACGAGATTTATATGAAGGCTCCTCCAGGTTATACTCATTTATTTCCGGGGAAGGTTTGTCGGTTGCGGAAGTCTTTATATGGGCTTCGCCAGTCTCCCCGGAACTGGTTTGCTAAGCTCCGTCACGCACTTCGCAGCTATGGTTTTCGTCAGGCACATGCTGATCACACTCTCTTTGTTCTGAATCGTGGGCCTGATATGCTTGTGGTTTTGGTCTACGTTGATGATATCCTAGTTGCAGGTAATAATCCATCATTATGTTCTTCCTTCAAGCGGTATCTGGATGATTGTTTTCAGCTCAAAGATCTCGGCCCGGTCTCTTATTTTTTGGGTATTGAATGTGCCCAGAACTCTTCTAGTATGGTCCTTAATCAGCGAAAGTATACTCTTGACATTATTCAAGAGCATAATTTGTCCGGTTGCAAGCCTGCTGAGACACCGATGCCGTGTGCTCACAATCTTGCTCGTTCCACTAGTGCTGCGTTGCGGGATCCGGCGAAGTACCGCCGGCTGGTCGGTCGTTTACTATACCTGACCATTACTAGGCCAGATATTTGTTATGCGGTCCATACCTTGTCTCAATTTATGCAGGAACCACAGTTAGATCATTGGAATGCCGCCTTGCGTGTTCTCCGTTATCTCAAGTGGCATCCGGGACAGGGCATTCTCTTACGCAGTGATAGTGATCTCGCCCTAACTGCCTTCTCCGATTCCGATTGGGCGAGTTGCCCGATGACTCGACGGTCTGTGACAGGTTATTTTGTCTTGCTTGGTGGTTCTCCTATTTCTTGGCGAACTAAAAAGCAAACTACAGTTTCACGTTCTTCAGCAGAGGCGGAGTATCGTGCCATGGCTAATGCATGTGCAGAAATCCGGTGGCTCAGAGGTTTACTTGCCGCACTCGCCGTCCCTTGTGTTGCAATTCCTAGACTGTATTGTGACAATAAGTCTGCGCTCTTCATTGCAGCTAATCCAGTTTTTCATGAACGGTCCAAGCACATTGACATTGATTGTCATATTGTCCGGGAGTGTATCCAGCGTGGCCATATTGTTACTGCCTATGTTCCTACACGGTTGCAAACTGCAGATACTTTTACCAAGGCATTACCGGGGCCGTTTTTCGTTCTCTTTTATCCAAGTTGGGCATTTTTGATGTTCATGCTCCAACTTGAGGGGGAGTGTTAGCATTATGTATATATGTTTATATTGTATTATCGTATATTGGGCCTGTCATGTTGGGCCCGGAACTCTTGTATATATACTTTGACATATCAATGAAATAACCAAGCAATTCAGTTCATAAAATTTTACATTATCCTTTGTGATATATCTTTCTTCTCCATTCTAATAATGTGTAAGATTTCAATCTATTTTAAATTGATTTTATTTTCAATATCTAGGAATAAAAAATATAAATTATACTGCTTAAAATTAAATAATTTTTTTATAAACATAAGATATGAATACAGACATTAGATACTGAAATGCTGTAATAATAAACAAAAAATTAGATTTGGAGAGAAAAACCGAGTAAAAAAAAATGGAACAGCCATATAATTTAGACAAATTTACCTAAATAGGACTAGCTAACACATAATGATTTTTCTAATATAGGACCATATTTTTTATTTTCCAATGTATGACTTTTGGTCATTATCAAGTAGTCATTATTCAAGCAAATGTCTAGCATTATTGGACATTATTCATCCCACTATGTCATTATTAAGTCTTATTTAGGGAATAAAAAAATTTAAATCCTACATTAAAAAATCATTATGTTTTAGTCATGTTGAGTGCAAATTTCACTATAATTTATGAAGTGTTAACACTATGGATTGGCCGGGCCGTTTGTAATGGATTATTATATGGCGGGCCTAGTTCTTTGAAATAAGCCCAACACTCAATTGAAGAGTTAGGCTTCCTTGTTGCAATAGCGTCCATCCTAAATGCAAAAATGAAAACAATAAAAATTTAATATACAATATTTTAAATATGAAAATCGTAATATTCTCACTTCTCCAAAAAATATTTTTTTCAAACTACGGTAAGAAGCTATTTCTTTTTAAATGATTTTATTTTCAAATTAGTATATGTTGGTGATTTTAATGTCATCGACTATTTTTGTGTAATTAGATTTACTTAGATGAGACAAGAATTAGAATAAATGTTGTCTAGAAAATAAGGAGGAACGGAGTGTACACTCGTACAACAATATTATAAATTCCTTGTAGTGTCCGAGGGTAGTAGGCCCCGTTAGCTGGGTCCAAAAGACGGCAACCCAAGTAGCGGGGTCCAAGGGGCAGCAGCACCAGACGGGGTCCAAGAGGCAGAGCCCCTGGCTAAACAGATGGTAAAGTTTTTATTTTGAATACTATTTCTTTATGAAAATTCTTTAGATTTTCCTGACATACTGATTTGAAAAGTGGTTATTTTCTCTCGTATTGATTTAAAAAGTGATTCTTTTCTTTCATTTTATTAAAAATTTAAAAATATAGATTAGTAGATCTTTAATTTAAAAAGTTAATTTTATCATAGGAATAAAATCTGTTTCCTAAAAAAAATACTTTGTATTTTTTGTTAGGAAGAAATTATTTTAAGTAAATACGGAGTACATTCTAATTTACTGTTTTATTGACTCTATTATAAATTTATGATGTTTTCAGTGGTGTTGATTTCAATACAATTTACAACAAAAAAAATGGTGAAGTTAAAAAAAATTGACACACTAAAAAGTTATATCTAAAATTTTATAATATAAAAGATGATATGACTATATTATTTTATCAAATAAGTAACAAAATTTGATTTTGTACATTAGAGAATATTATAATATCATGTTTTCCTTTTTTAAGTAGGATGTCATAATTAATTAATTAATTTTTCCATACTCCCCCGTCTCGCTTGAATTTTAACATACATTATTTACATAGTCAAACTTTATATACTTTGTTTCCTTATATTTGTTGCTAATTTGATAATATAAAAAAGTCACATCTAGTTTTGTAGATTTTTTGATGTAGTTTCTTAATATATATGGAGGAATTTTAAATTTTTTTGCCTTACATCTACAAATCTACAATCAGATAAATTGAATTTAAAATAAAGTTAATTAAGTATCGTAACACAGACCGGAAAGATTCAAACGGGACGTGGGAGTATTTTTTTGGTTGTCCTTTTCAATTTAACGTTATCTCTAAATGAGTGTTGAAAGAGGTATGAATGTTTCTTTCATAAAAAGGATGAACCCCATCCGGAAAAGGTCCCTCGATTTTTTTAGAAATGTAAGAAAGTATGTTACTTACACTCTTACTCCGTATTTTTTATTTAAAAATGGTAATTCTATATAATTTTAAGATAGAGAAATGAGGTAACTAAGTATGTGATGTAAACCTTAATTTGAGACTCACCCAAATTTTTCATGACAAGCATGGCCTTGGAGTAAATTGGTGATGGGTAAAAACGTCCCTCTCACATACTACCTCCGTCCCAGAGTATTTGCCCACTTTCATTTTTACACATCATCCAATACACTTCTTTAATCCATTTTATCTTGTAATTTGTATATTATAAAATTATAGAAATTATATATTAATAATGTATATGTTGAGACAAATAAAAAAAACATCAAACATGACTATATTTATGCTTACACATTGAGAGAATTTGATGAGTCAAAGTGCTTAGATGAACAGTTCCAAAAATCAAAACTGAACGAATACTCCGGGACGGAGAAAGTATTAAATAGAGAGTCAAGATGGAGTGATGTGTGTGAGGTGTTCTAGCACTGCCCTCATTGAAACGTAGGCCCCGTTTTGTTCAACTTATTTTTTCTTATTTTTTTTATTTTTATTATAATCAGATTATATCAGACCAAATCAGATTAGATCAGATCGAATCATATTTAATCAGATCCAATCAGATCATCTCAGATCAGATAAGATCCAATCAAATCAGACCAGATCAGACAATATCAGATCCATCAAGAATTATTATTGTTGTTGTTGTTGTTTATTTATTATTATTATTATTCTTAAAAATAAAAAAATAAACTTTAGAAACAAGTTAAATAAAAAACTGAGAAAGTAATACTTAAATTTTAATGATATTGCATAATTATCTTAGTTCTAAACTCAAGCATTTTTTAAATTTCTTATTGGTATGTTTGGAAACGTGGATTTGCATTTCAAATCCGGATTTGGCTCAAATTCCATATTTGGGAAACTTACAAATTTTGAATTTAAATTTGAATCAAATTCTTCTCATTCATAACAAAGCTTAATTTTAAGTCCATGTCCCTCCCCTTGTCATTTGAAATTCTAGATTTCAAATTTTAGAATTGAAATACATGAATTGAAATGAAATCCTAGTTGCCAAACACTACCTATATTGATTTATATATCTTAAACTTTTTTAGGATTTAAACTAGAATAATTTAATAGATGTAATGCATATTTTTAGATATTTTAAATTTATTTAATAGAAAATGTAACTATGTAAAAGTTAATCTGAATTAAAAAATCTAAAATACAAAAGTTATAACTAGTTGAGTCAATCCAAACCTACTGATGATAGTGAGTCATGAACATAAAATTTCCTAAACTCGAACTCACCTACCGATTTTCTAATGAACATAAAATTTCCTAAACATGAACATAAAATTTCCTAAAATCCCACAAACATCATCTTTTATCCAATCATTCCCTCCCCTTATCTTCTTTAGATTCTATCCTTCCCTTATCTTTTCTATCCAATCACACGTTTTTCCTTTAGATTCTCTCCCTTTTCTTACCTTTCAAATACTCCCCCATTTCTTCTCTCCCAAAATCCCCAACACAAAAACCAAATCGTTTACTACCAATTCATTCACAACCCCCACGCCGCCTCCTTCTAAATCCTCGAGCGCCACTTGTCCGCGCAGAACTTCCGGCAGGACGACGGGGAGACGCGCCGCCTGCTCATCGCGCTCGCCGGAGACGCCACGCAGGAGCGCGGGCACGCGTTCTTCTCGGAAGTCCAGTTCATCCCCGCTCCAGATCTGCGCCAGATCGACTCCCTGTGGTGCAAATACAGCGATGTCCTTCCATTCTCAGGTATCTTACCATTTACCATATCTGTAATCTCGCTTCACTTATCTTTTTTCTTGGGTGTTTTGTTTTGGGTTTGAAAAGAAAATAGATTTCTTGGTTTGAAGATGCTTTGATGGGGGTTTGTATTTGGGGTTCCTAGTTTCAACCATGGTGGATTTTTATGACTCTAGCTTTTCTTGTTTTTTTTAACTCCCGTGTGTCTTTTTCTTTTGCTGTTTTTGGAAGCTTTTATGGTTCCATGTAAGAGTAATTTACCTAAAACATAATAAACATAATGACTTTCTCAATATAGTACTATATGTTTTTATTTCCCCTATGTAGGACCATTGGTCATTATCTATTAGTCATTATTCAACTAAATATCCAGCATTACTTGGACATTAATCTATTTAGGGAATAAAAAAGTTTAAGTCCTACATTAGGAAATACTTATATTTTAGTGCTATTCAGTTCAAATTTTACTTTATGTAAAAATGTATGCTATTGAATTTCATTTTTTTTATCAAATTAAATTTCTAAATAATTTTGGTAGTTTCTAGGATGCCCAAGCTAATAAGAGGGCATGCCCCTTCGTTAAATTCATGCCATGTGGACATATGACTATCTCATCTAGTAATGTCCTCCACGTAATTTAAATTATCAAAAATTGCAGTTGATCATGTCTCTCTAATTCATTTAAAATTGTTAACTAGCTGCCATTAACTTGTTGCCTTCGTCTATTACATTTTTTTCATTCTATTTTTTCATATAAAGCATGGTTAATTTTTTTAAAAAAGAAATCACGGTTAAATTAAAAACATGCTTAATAGAGTAATGGTCTTATCTTAGAGCATCCACAATGGTAACACGTCTCATTAGATGCTCAACTGTGGGCTCTACTTTAAAAATATTATTGCGGCATCTCTTTGAACATCTAAATGTTTTAATGGTGACACCTCATTGAGATGCCTTAGGCAAATCCTACTCACATACAGAAATAATTTTTATTATTTTTTTTTATTTTTAATTTTTATATTATATATAGGAGTGTTAAATATGGAGTAATAAATTATAAATTAAACTGATTTTTTTTGAAAAAATAATATAAATAATTAAAAATATTATTAATGACTTTTTTTGCTAAATATTTTGATTAAAAAAATTAATGACATGTTGGTATTACTAAAAACAAAATAGGGTGTCATATTTTTATAGAGTATTTATTTATTTATTCAATTTTTTGTGTAGATTAAACTCAATTAAATGAAACACAACTTCAAACAGATTTTTCATGGTATCACTGCAAGTTAAAAAATGAAAAGAAAAAAAACTTGCGAAAATGGTTTGTTTAAAAAAATTGTAAAGATTCTTTTCCAAAAAAAGAGACACAATAATGGTATAGAATTGTAGCATCACTACACGTTAAAGAAATAAAAAGAAAAAAATATTGAAAAGAGAATGTATTATTAAAAAAAGACCTATTTTACAAAAAAAAGAAAGAATGCACACATGATTTTGAATGCTAGCACCCGGTGCTCTCTTGAGCATCTCTTACTTTTTTTCCTCTTTGAACATCTACTCTAAGCATCTATCTCCAATAGTAGCATCTACAAACATCCTCTTCTCTCTCCTTTGAGCATCTCTTCTGATGGCCTTAGTGCCTTCGTGGTTCGAAAAAAATACAGAGTACTAATTCTTCTTTCTTTTAAAAACTTGTTTTATACTCCGTAATAATCTTTCTGACTTCAGAACGTTGTACTGTACACGAACATTCATACTAATTTTTTGGCAAAATTCACAAGAACACTCCGAGAAATTACAAGTTTTACTTAAATATTCCAAATTTGTTTATTTACACAGTTACTCCCATATTTGTCTATTGTTTACGTCGTTACTCCGTGATTGCTTCATCATCAATAATGTTCCTTTGGTGTATCTTTTTATACAGGGTTCTTAATCTTTTATTATTGAATTCAAATTAAATTAATATGAATAGACTTGATTTTAAATATTAAAAAGATTTAGGAAGTTTAAAATCTGGATTTTTCAAAAAAATTGATAGGAAATAAGGGCAAGAATTTGGCTTACGACATGAGAAAGACGATAGAGAGAATAAATTGAGCTGATGAATTTCGTATATCAAAATGAAAAAAATACATGTCTGCATTTTAATTGTTTACTTAACGCTAAAAAGACACATCCAAGTAACACTAATGATCACTACCAAATTTGGGAGCACTGATGTAAATAAAAGAGAAATGTGGGAGTAATATTGTAAATAAACAAATTTGGAGTATTTATGTAAAAGCTGCAATTTTTGGAAGTTTTCTTATCAATTTTTCCTAATTTTTTCGTTCATCTTTTGACAAAGAGGGGGATTGGTGTCTAATTTTCAAATCACAAAGCATCGAAGCCAATATCTTATTTTTCATTCATTTTTAATTTTTTTAAATTATTATTATTTTTTTATTATAAAAATCAAAATTGTTTGTATTTAAAATAAAATATAAATGAAAGTTATACTCCCTCCGTCCTATATCTTTTTTCTCGTTGCGCAAAACAAAAAAAATCCCAAGTTTTTTCAATCTATTTTATTTAAATATTGGTATAGAAATAATAAATAAAACATACATATTTAAAAATTACATCAAAAGTTTAACAAAACAAGTGGTGACAAGAATATATATTATTTTATTAAATAGTCCATGAAAAAACACAAATAAATATAAATTTCCGTGAAATTGGAATAGTGCTCTCGAAAGAAAGTTTTAGAATGGAGGGAGTAACATATACTTTGGCAATATTGACTAAAATATTTTTTTTTGCTTTCAAAATAAATAGAATTTTTTTATACATTTTAAGAACGAAAACAAGGAATAGGGAAAGAAAATACAAAAAAAAAAGAAAAAAAAAGAACAGAAAAATGATATGAAAAATAAAAACATACACTTGTAGTAAAAGAAATCCAAAAAAGGTTCTTTTTGAAAAACCAAAAAAAGTTATGTTTTTAGATATCCATCCAAAAGCGTTATTTTTTTTTAACTTAAAAAATGAAAAGTGTTTTTTGTTAAGATTCATTTTTTTGCCGTTGGTCCAAAATAATATCCTTATTCTTTTCTGTTTTCCTAAAAAATGTTATCCAAAAGATTTTAAATTTTCGGACATCCCCAAAATTAGCTTTATATGCCCATTTCATGTCTACATTTTACATTTTTAGGATGTATATTTTTTCAATTTTTTTTTTTCAATTTCCTTGTTTCTATTGTTTTAGGTTTTATTTGATTTTTATATTTTTTCTTTTTATTTTAGAAAAACAAAAAATAAATTTTTTAACATGAGACAAATAAAATATATTAAAGTGTAATATTATTTCAATTATTTCACACTAAAATGGAAAATAGGATAGTGGTTGTTGACACCCCTCATAGTTTGTAATATAGACACTAATGTCCCCTTCTTTGCCAGAAAAGTAAATAAAAATTTGTCAGAGGCAGTGCTAATTCAATATTTTGAAACCACATAGATTTGTGAAGTACTTTTCGAAAACAACAATTTGGTATAATTTTTATATTTTAATTCATTATATATTGTTATATACTCTTTCAGTTCATAAATAAAGTTACTATTTTGTTTTTTTGTGCCTAAATAAACTTCTTTTTTTCCTTAAAAAATCCCTTTTACCCCTTATTTTTTTATACCCTACCTATTACATTATACTTTTTTTTATCAATAATCTACCTATCACATCTCACTTTTACACATCACATCAATGATATATTTGGAAAGTCAACACAAAAATATCTTTTCCTTCAATTCTCAAAAAATAAAAAATGAAACTTTATTTAGGGACGGAAAGAGTATATATATATTTAGTAAAATGTTTCAATTAAATAAAAACTGTAATATATTTTAACTTAAACATGACTACTTTCAAATTTGTATCAAATATAAATTGAGAGTAATTGGAATTCAAAGTTTATCCATTTTGACTCTAAAAAGTCAAATTGGATAAATATATTGAGACGGAGGTAGTATTAAGTAGATAAAATATTATTTTGAAAATATTTTTTAAAATAGATCTAATAAAACTATGATTGTATCAAAATCTAATACTCCTTCCGTCCCCTTAAGATGTTCTCATTTTGACTTTTGGCGGTTTTAATGGGTGGAGTGTATTAAATGAGGTGGGTGAGGTGTAATAAATAAAGTAAGTAGAGGTAGTTGTGGTATTTTAATTGTTAAAAAATGAAATGAGAAGATGACAAAAAAAAGGACTATTGAAAAGATCTATGAGGGACAGAGGGAGTAATATTTTATTTAATTTGGAGTCAAAGTTTAACAATTTGATTGAAAAAGTCAAAAGTTGACAAATTTTTCAGAACAGATGGAGTAGTTAATTTAATAAAAAGGGACTTTTGCTTAATCACTTGTGTGAAATGATGGAATAAGAAATTGGAATAAAATTGTGTGAAATAATGGAATTAGAAAATGAAGAAAAAGAGGTGGGGAAGTGGGGAACTACAGTGAATAGACGGAATGAACGGAAAAAAGGCTACAAAATGGTGAGAAAACGTAATAGCCCATTATATATATATATATATATATATATATATATATATATATATATAATTTAAAAAAAGGTTTAAACAATCGGTTCAAGAATTGCAAACAATAGATCTAAAAAATATAAATCATTTCATCATATAGTATTTTCTTCCATAAAAAATTTTTACAACTAATACTCCGTAACTAATTGAAGACTCGGTACTGAGTGCCTAAATTATTAGGTACTCTAGTCAAAGTATTGCTCATTCTCTAAAATCTTTCTAGCCAAATAGTCTGCGAAATTTGTTATCGTCTGGGAATTCATCGCAACAAATATAAAACCCGTCGGTCTTGACCTTCCAATTAGAGTACATCTCGTTGACGCAATAATCGTATTGTCCGTTGAAAACTCGAAAGCGTAGTATCTTTGAGCACAAGAGAAATTACACCAGAATACAGTTGTGGATAACAAGTTCACT